TCATCGGTGAGTTCTGCCTCAGTTAGCTCCCAAGTGAGGACTCAGTCACCTTTGGAGACGCCGGAGGCTGAGATGCTGTGGGAGGTGTACCTGGTGCTGTGGGCCATTCGGAAACAGCTGCGGCAGCTGTCCCGCAGGCAGGAGAGGCGCAGACGGCACCACGTCCGATGCCACGCTACCCCGCGACCCAAGCCGGTTCAGTCCCTGAAACTGGATGCCCAGAGTCCCCTCTAGGGGGGATCCCCAGACCCTCAGAGAGTCCCGACCTCACTCTTACGTCAGATTGATGGGAGGGGTCAGGGCGGCAGGCCAGAAGTTGTGGGTGAGGAAATCCTTTATAGAGTCACCTCTCATCGGGAGCCCAAGGCCAGGCCTGGGGTCCCATATGAGCCGCTTCATTCCATCTATTCCATTTGTAAAAAAAAAAAAAAAAAATCAAAATATTGGGAAATAAATATCAGATAGTTCTGAGTCAGTGAGAAGTATGTGTGGATGGCGGGAGGGGATGAGAGGAGTTTGGGTGGGTCAGGGAGAGGCCCCTAAGGTGAGAGCCTAAAGCCCAGTGGGGGTCACCTGTGGGTCTATTTGGGGGAAAGGAGGGTTAGCAGGTTTCTGCTCTGGGCCCCACTCCCTTCTGGGGGCTGAAATGCTTGTTGGCAACTCGGCCTTTCCTATAAGGCAGTAACAGCTGCTATTCATTAAGGACCCACTCGCACCAGCTGCTGTCCTTAGCGATCCCACAGGAAAGGTATTTAGTGTGGATTACAGGGCTTGTCCAAGGCTCAGTGAAGGAGGCCTTGCTGGAAACTGCCGGCGCTCAGAGGTAGCCCACCACCCTGCCTCTCTGGCACTGAAGAGCATGTTGGTGGAGGGTTGCGCATCTGCAGACGCACAGGGGGACTTTGAAAGACGCATCCACCTGCTGGGAAGGAACTCCAGCCCCAATGCCCGCACCTCACCAAGAACTGAAACTACACCTCCAGGGGACTCTGCAGGGACCATGCTCCTGGCGGGCCAGGTGAAGGCTGCAGCCTAGGAGCTGGGTGAGGGGTTTGGCCTGGCACTGTGGGAATGAGGGCCTGGAGGGAGGCTGTGGCAATTTGGAGGGAGGTGGGAGGGCAGAGGAGACAACAAAAAGGGAGACCCCAGAGCCTCAGGTCCCCTCTTGGAGTAGCCAGGCCACACGAAGGTGCAGAGGAGGCTACCCAGGAAAAAGCAGGGTTGTTTAACAAAATCAACAGCAGGACCGACTGTGGTGACTCATGCCTACAATCCCAGCACTTTGGGAGGCTGAGATGGAAGGATCACTTGAGCTCAGGAGTTGGAGGCCGGCCTGGGCAACATAGTGAGACCCCATCTCTATAAAATTTAAAAAAAAACATTAGGCATGGTGGTGAGCACCTGTGATCCCCCCTAATTAGGAGGCTGAGGCAGGAGGATCTCTTGAGCCCCGGGGGTTGAGGCTGAAGTGAGCTATGATCGCAACACTGCTCTCCAGCCTGGGCAACAGAGCAAGACACTGTCTCAAAAAAAAGAATTGACAGGAAAATTCAGGGATTTGAGGGTTGACAGGGCTTGGGGTGGCTTGGGGGAGGAGAAAGGGATGGCAGCAGAATTGGAGGTCAGGGACAGCAGAGAACCGGGAAATGAGAGGGGAGAGGGTGCAGACGGCTGTGCTGGTTTTCTTGAAAGAAGGGGTTACTTGGGAGTAACAGGTGGTGAGCATGAACAAAGCTAGGGGGCAGTGGGGAACCACTGGGCTGGTTGGCTGGAAGCACGAAGCTCTCTAGAAAAGTCAGCACCCCATCCCCTCCCTAACACACCACAAATCTTTGCAGCTCTGGGAGAGTTTAGCCCCATTGCTGAGGACTGGGGGAGCTTTTCTGGAGCCTGGAGACCCCCTCTAAAGCTCTGTTACCCTGAGCCTGTAAGCTGTGCACCACACTCCAATACCTACAACCACAATAATAAAACCCACCACTATTTTTTTTTTTTTTTTGAGACTGAGTTTCTATCAGCCAGGCTGGAGTGTAGTGACACAATCTTGACTCACTGCAACCTCCATCTCCCTGGTTCAAGTGATTCTCCTGCCTCAGCCTCTCAAGTACCTGGGATTGCAGGTGCCGCCACCATGCCCGGCTAATTTTTGTTTTAGTAGAAATGGGGATTTATCATATTAGCCAGGCTGGTCTCGAACTCCTCACCTCAAGTGATCTGCCTACCTTGGCCACCCAAAGTGCTGTGATTACAGGCATGAGACACCGCGCCCGGCTTTCACCCACCACTTTTTAAGCACCTACTGTGACTACTTTTTTTTTTTTTTAAATTGATACAAAGTCTCACTCTGTTACCCAGGCTGGAGTGCAGTGGAGCCAACTTTGCTCACTGCCAACCTCTGCTACCAGGTTCAAGCGATTTTCCTGCCTCAGTCTTCCAAGGAGCTGGGATTACAGGCACCTGCCACCACACCCAGCGAATTTTTTTGGTTTTTCTGGTAGAGATGGGGTTTCGCCATGTTGGCCAGGCTAGTCTCAAACTCCTAACCTCAGACAATCTGCCCGCCTCAGCCTCCCAAAGTACCGGGATTACAGGTGTGAGCCACCACTCCCAGTCGTGACTACTTTTTAATCTTTTTTTTTAAGACGGGGTTTTACCATGTTGGCCAGGCTGGTCTTGAACTCCTGACCTCAGGTGATAGGTGATCCGCCCGCCTCGGCCTCCCAAAGTGCTGAGATTACAGGCGTAAGCCACTGCGCCTGGCAAACTTTATCTTTTTGAGTCAAGGGTCTCTCCCTCTGGCACCCAGGCTAGAATGTAGTGGCATGATCATAACTCACTGCAGCCTCAAACTCCTGGGCTCAAGCGATCCTACCCTCTTGGCCTCCTGAGTAACTGGGACCACAGGTGCATGCCACCATGCCTGGTTAATTTACTTTTTTGTGCAGAGAGGGTCTCACTATATTGCCTAGGCTGGTCTCAAACTCCTGGACTCAAGTGATCCTCCTGCCTTGGTCTCCCAAAGCACTGGGATTATAGGGAAAAGCCATCGTGCCTGGCCTGTGACTGCTTTTACAAA